TGAAACTTGCTTATCTGAACATAAACCTAATTATTAGATTAGTTAAGGAGTCTTAATTTTAAAGACCCCTTGTCTGTGGTGTGGTGTGGTGTTTGTCAACCTATAGGCAAGCTGGTCCTACACCCCCATGTTCCTCTTTTGCTATTGAAAGACACATTATGTATAGAAATAGGCTCCAATTGAGCTTGTGTGACTTGATTTTACATTTCTGTTTCTTTCTTCTTTTTAAGTTCATCATCATCTTCTACTTTTTCTTTTCTTCATTATAAAACTAACTGTAGTTGAAAAAAAAAAAAATACAACTGAATTCACACGTTCCATGAAAAAAAAGGACTAAATCCTTTCCAAGCAAAAGTTCACTTCATCTCTCTACAAGAAGAAGAAGAAGGTACATTGTACAATATATTTAGACTCAAACTCATATATCATACTAAATCAATCATATCCCTAATCTTTGTCTAATCCTAAGATTTTATCCCATCTTATAAACTAGAAGTTTGAGCATACTACTTATGTAGTTGAAGTTGTCAATATGGAATCATGGGTGGTAACAATTAAGAGAGTATATATTGAGTTGTGGATAAACATTTATTTTACTTTTAATCCTTATAAAAAATTACAAGTAAAGGTAAAATATATAGAAAAATTTAAGGAAAATGTTATACATCTTGAATAATTTATTAAATTTGTCACTAAATCTTTTACATAGGTATGGAACCCACATAAATTCACATGTGTGTAAGTTCCATAGCCATGTGAAAAGTTTAGTAAGAAATTTGATAAATTATTTAAAGTACCTAACATAACTTAAAAATTAATGTTGCTATGATTTTTAGAAATCAAAATTATGTGACGAAGGTTCACACTACTAAGGCCATCTTCAACGGTGCATCAAACCTAGCATCAGATTTGAAATTTGATAAAAAAGCCATTGTTTGTGTCTCCAATATTTCACCAAATTAATATCAAAATGAGAACAGAACAAAACTTTCATCAAACTGAGAACAAGCTCATGATTTCAGTATTTCACTGTGCTATAACGTTGGGATGGACCAACCGGTCAACCAACCAAATGTCCGGTCGGTTGACCCACCGGTCGACCGATTCCCTTTCAAATAAGTACGATCAAACAGGGTCAAAAAGGTTCAAATAGGTTGAAAAAAATAAATTCTTGCCTTACTGGTCAACCGGCCGGTCGACTCACCAGATGACCCTTCCCTTTTGATGTACCGTTGGAGTAAGCCATATCAGATTGATTGAGAAAATCAGCTATTTTTTACTCAGATTTGGTGAAAAAAGTAATGAACCGTTGGAGATGCTCTAAAGCCTTGTTTGGCATGCGAATATTTTAGTCTAAAAGTCAAAAATTTACTAAAAAAATTAAAAAACCTATAACCTATACCAAAAAGTTAAAGATTCTTTTTTTTTTTTTTTACTTTTCATATATCTTTTTGTAAAAAATTTAAAAATTATTTTAAACATATTAATTTTATTTATCTCATATTTTAACTAAAAAATTAATAAAATAACCTGTTTCTAAACGAGGTATAAGTAAATTATGTAATTTGTATGATAGAAAAGATTTATATGTTTTTTGGTTTTACGTGTACTTTCTTGTGGATAACATCACTTTTAAGATACTATTTGGAACAGTTTATATTATTGCTTTTAACTTTTTGAAAGTTAGTGGCAGAGTACTTGGTCAATATATATATATATATATATATTTATCTTAAGTTAAGTAATATGTGCTATTAAATTTTATTTCTGATAATTAATTTACAACTTGGAAAAAAAATTGCACCTAACAACCCCTATGGGATTAGGTAATTTGAATCCATCAAATAGGAAAGCATCAAAACACACACATACATACAAAAGCTACAGCTACTGCTCTTCCTTTCTCTTTCTTTTACTTTTTACCACTTTTGTTTTGTATTTGGTCTCACAGTTACTCAACCGTTTTGATGCTTTCTCATAGGATAGGAGCTTTCCAACTAAGGCTTAATCTAATATTAGACCATTGATTACTTTCAAATCACATAAAAGTTTTGAAAATTGTTGAATCACAATAATGTATATATAAAATTTATTCATACTATTTTTATAAATTATAAACATAATAGTAATTATTACGTATTTAAATAAAAGTATATTTTTTTATTTGTATATTATTATTATTATTTTTTTTAAATTTGGTAGATTTGTGTATTTTGATTTTTTAATTTAGATTTAGGTTTTGATTTTGATTTTTTCGAAGAGCAGGGTTGCGATTTGGATGATGACTTCTACAAAAGGATTGCATTATTCAGTGAATGACTTCATATATAATCTAGATCAAGTGAGATATTGCGCCAGTGGTAAGTAATTTCAGAAATGGAGAGAGCATGAGTGGAAAGAACATGATTTGGTAATGGTGGATCTTGACTTGGAACTTGGATGCTGCCAGTTTTATTTTTGGCTTTTGTTGTTATCCTCACATTTGGGTAAAGCTGGATTGCTCTGCTACTGCTGTTGAAAACGTAAAAAGGGAAGCACAAAGCAGAAAGATAGAGGAAAAAGGACTTTTAGGTGTACTCAAAAAGTTATGGGATTAAATGGTATTCACATGTTCCACATGGGACCTATGGGTAATTTCCCCTTTTTTAAATGTTTGCACGCTGATTGTCATTCGTAGACCTACCCATTAGCCCTTCGTCCTCAAAATCCAAAATTTTCAGGCCCGCCCTTGCAAAAAATGTTTGGTATAGGAGTGTAATTTAGACCGGCTCAATCCGAATGTCTTGAATTTAGTTTGAATTCTTTTAGGGTTTGAATAAGATATTTTTAAATTCGGTACGAATTTTGATAAAAATTTAAAAATTTGAATTAAATTTGGATGGGTTTGAGCAAAGACATCAAATAACTTGAGCAATCGAAACCTAAATTATACATATATAAATATATAAAAATATTAAATATACATATAAATTATTAGTCATTACATGATATTAAAGTAATTTAGGTTATTAAATCATATTGAATATATATTATATGTACAAATAACATAAAATCTTACTCTTTTTTATTTTATTTTAATTTTCACTCATAAATTGTAAAGACTATTATAGTGACATTTCTCTTATATTATATAAATTATTTGTTTTAATGGTATTAATGATTTCTATATAAAAAAAAATTGTAAATAAAGTCAAATTTTAATAATTTAATAATGTAGCTGCAAAAATAAATAAATAAATAAAATTCATTTACAATTCGGGCAATTCGGACAACTTGGGCAATTCGGATTTAACTCGGGTCGAGCTTGGTCAGGCAACCTCAGGTTACAACTTGAGTCTGGACAGGTCTCAGTACAATTTGGGCTGGACTTAAACAACCTCCGAGTCCGCCCGAGTTGCACTCCTAGTTTGGGGTTGGCTTTTAGTGAATTTTTGTTGGTTTTTTATTTTTATTTTTATTTTTTTATCTTTAGTGATTTTTTTTTTAATTTTAAAATTTTACACTCATGGATTCTACTCAACTAGACAGACCAAAAAAGAGAGAAAAAAAAGAAGTAAGAAATAGTTTTTTTTGTACTTATTATTATTTTTTTTGGATTTTTTATTTTTAATTAAAAAAGAAGTAAAAAATTTTCCTTTTTGTTTTCTTTTTAACATCTTGAAACACTTTCTGGTTAATCGGTCAGTTGGTCAATTCTAAGCTTTTCCGGTCATTTGGTGGCAACTTCAAAGTATTTTTGTGATACATTTTTTCGAGATGGTTTGGAATGTCTCTAACATTTTTTTTAAAAGAGAAAATGTGTGTTTTTGGATGGTCTCGCTGCTCTATCATGGTGACTTTCTCTCCTTCCTTTGCCATGGATTGGTATATAATTTTGTGAAAATTAAAGAGAATTTTTTTTGAACAAAATTAAAGAGAATTTGATTGTTACTATTTGGTTATGTTTAGCAAGCTGTCTATATAATTTGTAACCCAAAAAGAATATAAAATTAAAAGTCTTTATAGTATGCCAATTGACTCGGTCCATGGAGGAACGGTAGGGATGACAATGAATAACCTATCTTGTGGGTATTCATGGAGACCCAACCCAAATATATGGGTTTTTTTTTTTTTCTTTTCTTCTTATCCATTAGGTAGGGTAAGTGATATTCTTTAAATATCCACAGGAGATGGATTGGGGATGGGTATCCACTAATTTCTCCATATATATTTTTTTTTTAACCAAAGCTAAATATACATTCAATTTTTTTTTTTTTAAGGTTCACAACCATTTCCAAAGCTAAATATACAGTCAATCTTATTTAATTTTATTTGGCTCAACAACAAAATCAAATACACATTAATTAACATTGTCACATTATTCTTGTTAAATTTTATGCATATCTAGAATTTTTTAAATTTATTTAGAAAAATTCTATTCCTACAAAAAAATTTTATCTTTTTAATTTTTTTTTTTAATTTTATATATCTCATTCTCCTTTCTATTAATTTTTTTTTTTTTTTTTTGAACGGCGAAGAAAAAGATCTTTATTGATGAAACATACATAGTATGACAAAGACATCAATAAAGAGCTAAAAGCTAAACACAAGCTTCAAGCTCCAGTTGGCAAGAAACCAACAAGAAAAGAGAACAGATATGAACAAGATGCAATCCAAAATACAACAGCAGCTTCAAGCTCCAGCTCGGGACTGATATGAACAAAATAGAGCTGATCCAAGAATACAGAACTGATCCAAACCAGCTACTAAAAGCAAACTAATACGGACAGCAGCAGAAGCTGATCCAAACTTGCCGAATTACACTATGGACAACAGCAGAATTTGCAGAATTACACTATGGACAGCAGCAGCAGAATTACACTATGGACAGGGTAGAACCACCTGAGTAGAATAGGGCCTGCAGAATAACTAATAGCTAACCACCTACACAATAAAACAGCAGCAACAAATCTAACACAGCATGACTCCTGAAGCATTGAAGACACCAAGCCAACCACAATTCAAGTGCGAATGCAGTGCCTGACTCCTGAAACATTGAATTGGAAATCATTGATGGAGAATGGAAATTGGTTGGAGGAGGACTTTAACCAAATCGCTAGCCTGAAGATGATGAGTTCCTGCAGCAGCTGGGTGTTAAGATGGGAGGCTTGAAAGAGGCACTCGTTTCTGATCTTCCAAATGGACCAGAGGGTGACCAAAGGAATGGCACGCCAGATTCTCCTCTCCTTTTTCTTGCAGATGAACCCTGCCCACCACTGCAGTAGATCTTCAACAGAGGCAGGAACCACCCAGAGAATACCCCACCATTGAAATAACCCAGTCCAAACTTTCCACACCAAAGGGCAGTGAATCAGAACATGCTGGACAGTTTCCTGTTGCGAGTTACAAAAGAGGCATGAGGTGGCAGCCGATCTATCCAATACGTCAATCCGTTGCAAGAAGACAGAAGTTTTAACCTTGTGTTTCCAAGCGAGCCAACCGAAAAATTGTATTTTAGGTGGTAGATAGTTGAGCCAAATCAAATTACTAGAAGGAACATTGTTACCCAAGGCAAGATTAGAATGATTATAAAGAGTGGAAACAAAAGACTTGCTAGGATGAAGTGCTGCCCACAAAGCTCTGTCATCAACTCCTAGATTCAAGGGAGGAGGAGTAGCTAAGGTGGTAATGAGTCTGTGAAGTTCATCCTTTTCCCATTCGAAGAGGGCTCTTCTGAAGTTAAACACCCAAATGGAAGATGTGGTTGACACAAAGTCCTTGAGAAGTCCTTCCTTACTATTGGACAGTTGAAAGAGCCTGGGGAATGCATCTTTGAGGCAATGAACCCCGCACCATTGATCATACTAAAACTTAATACGACAACCATTCCCCATTTTTAGATAAAGATTACTAATATAGAACAACAGAAGGGACTCATGCTTATCTGCTGCTGCCAATATGCCACCCCAGATATTAGAATGATGAATTGTGGAGCAAAGGTTAGGAATCCAAGACCCTCCTAGAAACTTATATTTACTACATAAGACTCGCTTCCATAATGAATCATGCTCTGAGGCAAATCTCCACCACCATTTGAGTAGCAAACACACGTTCACATCCCTGATTCGTTTGATGCCCAATCCTCCTTGCTTTATGTTCTTTGTTACCTCCGACCACTTAACAAGATGAATTCTCCTCTTTAGATCTGGGCCTCCCCAAAGAAATGAAGCTTGAATTTTGTCTAGCTCCTTAGCTACGCCTTCAGGTATTTTAAACAAAGACAAGTAAAATACGGGCAAACTTGACAGCACTGCTTTCACCAGAGTCAACCTCCCAGCATGGGAGAGAAACCTCATTTTCCACCCAGCATGCCTCATTTTGACTTTATCTACAATTGGTTTCCACATCCTCTTTCTTTTGGGATTAGCTCCCAGCGGCAATCCAAGATACTTGAGTGGTAAGCTATGGGTCTTGCAATTCAACAAATGTGCAAACTCCTCTAGAGTATTGCCAGGGATACCGACCCCGCAAATCACACTCTTATGATAGTTGATTTTGAGACCTGACACTACTTCAAAGCACCTGAGTATCCTTTTCAAAGTGAGGACTTCCGAGAACTCCGCTTCACAGAACAGAAGAGAATCATCTGCGAATTGGAGATGAGACAACTGAACTTGATTATTTCCAATGGTGACCCCTTTGAGCAAATTCAACTCCCGAGCTCGGAGTAGGAGAATGTTAAGAGCTTCAACAACCAAATTAAAAAGGAAAGGGGATAGAGGATCTCCTTGCCTGAGACCTTTTTGAGGATTAAATTCCTTAGTTGGAGAGCCATTTACGAGGATTGAAATTCTAGAAGTAGAAATGCATTCCTTGATCCATGAATTCCATTTGGGACCGAACCCAAAGTTTGATAACATTGAGAGGAGAAAATCCCAGTTGACAGAATCAAAGGCCTTAAAGGAAAGGGGATAGAGGATCTCCTTGCCTGAGGCCTTTTTGAGGATTAAATTCCTTAGTTGGAGAGCCATTTACGAGGATTGAAATTCTAGAAGTAGAAACGCATTCCTTGATCCATGAATTCCATTTGGGACCGAACCCAAAGTTGATAACATTGAGAGGAGAAAATCCCAGTTGACAGAATCAAAGGCCTTTTCGAAATCCAGTTTAAACAGCATCCCAGATTTTCTGGATTTAAGCCAACTATCTACAACTTCATTAGCAACCAAAACTCCATCCAAAATGTTCCTGCCTCCCAGAAAAGCTGATTGTGAGTCACCAATGATCCCAGACATAACTTGTTTAAGCCTGGAAGCTAGAACTTTGGAAAGAATTTTGTATACAGAGCCAACAAGGCTTATAGGCCTAAACTCATTTAAGGTGACAACTTTCTCTTTCTTTGGAATCAATGTGATGAATGTACTATTGAAACAAGTTGGTAATCTGCCACTGGAGTGAAAATCCTTCATGAAGTTAAGCACCTCCCTCTTAAGCATCTTCCAAAACTTTTGAAAAAACAGAAGGTTAAAACCATCCAGCCCAGGAGCTTTGTTTCCATTACAATCAGCTACTGCTGCCCAGACTTCTTCTTCAGAGAACTCTGCCTCGAGCATAGAGAAGTGATCACTAAGCCGAACACTCTTGAAATCACCAACAAGAACTGGCCTATGCTTCCAAGTCTCGGAGAAATGGTTAGAGAAATATGAGCATACTTCATGTTTAACTTGGTCTGGTGCCTCAATGACTTCATCTCCCACTGTGATTGAATTAAGGGAATTTCGATTTTGTCTACAGGTAGCCATAACATGGAAAAATCTTGTATTTTTATCACCTTTCATATTCCAATCCTGCCTAGACTTTTGTAGCCATTCCCATTCTAACTTCTTGATTAACTTCCACATCTCAATCTTTTTCTCTCTTTGCTGCTTCAGGTCGTCCTCCATCAAAGGCATAATCTCAGCTTTCAAGTCCAATTGATGAAGTTCATTTTCCAGAAGATGCAACCTAGAAGAGACATCACCATATTCCCCTTTACTCCATTTTTTTAGAGCCAACTTGAGGGCATGCATTTTACGCTGAAGGATAAATCCAGCAGGACCTGAGAACTGTGACTGTCTCCAATTATGTTCCACAAAGGATGCAAAGTTCAAATGCAACATCCAAGCATTTAAGAACTTAAATGGTTTAGGCCCCCAATCTCTAGAATCCTCCATAAGTACAATAGGGCAGTGATCAGAGGAGACTCTAGCAAGACCCCATTGCTTGAATTTAAACTTTTCTAGCCATTCAGGGTTGAGCATAAACCTATCAATTCGGCTCCACTTGTGGCCATCAGATGCATTACACCAGGTGTACTTTCTGCCTAGCAAAGGAAGATCAACTACCTCACATTTGTCAATAAATTTGTTGAAGTCACTCATACCCCTGTCCCTGAGTGAGACACCAACCCTTTCCCCTAAATTTCTAATCTCATTGAAGTCACCACCAATACACCATGGCTTGGGGAAAAGTGCTTTCAGACTTAGCAAAGATTCCCAAAATTTCCTTCTCTTCATAATGTCAGTAGGGGCATGAATATTGACAATAGTACAATTAAAGGAATGTAGAAGCTTACCAGAAAGAAGAATGAAGTTCCTATTGCAACAGCACTCAGACAGCTCAAATATGGCTGGATCCCAAATGCAAAGCAGACCACCAACAAAGCCTTCAGCATCAACATTCATAAACTCAAGCCTATCTCTTGGCCAGAGACTTTTCACCAATGTATTGGTTAGGTTTGATTTTTTTGTTTCTTGAATCAAAGCCATGTCAATCTTCTTATCAAATAGCAGCTTTTTGATTTTACTTCTCTTTTCGTGTCTGCCTAGCCCTCTGATATTCCAGCTTAATGTCTTCATATGAGGTATAGATTGACTCTAATAACACCCAGTGATGCAGATTAAGCCACTTTACCCTTTCCTTTTTCCAGCTGCTCCTTGTCCCTTTCCTCCATGCGTACTAATTCTCTAATTACCTCAGATTCATGGCCCTTGAAATCTAAACCCAGTCTTTGCCCCATTTGCAGAGTGGATTAAGCCTCTTGAATAGGACCACGGTCAGGAGAATGCTGAGAATATGGACTATGAGGTGAAACAGGTAAGGCTGCGACTGCGGTTCCAGATTTGAAGCTTTTGGCAGGACCCTTATTTGAGGTTGCACCCGACTGCACTATTCTCCTAGCAAAACCAGAAAACTTACCAGCTAGCAGACAATGTTTGAGACCTTCTCTTTTACTCCATTTTCTCTTACCTTTCTTCAGACGTTGGGTGTTAGAACTAGAGTTGATTGGGCTGAGGTTAGCACCAGACTTTGTTTGTGAGGCCTCCCAAGTTGTTGCATGAATAGGCCCAATTGAAGGAACCTTGAGACCAGAACTAGAGGGCCCAAATGGTTGTGGTCCAAATGCATTACCGCCCAAAGCAATTTCCAGCTGGATGCCAGGCCCAGAAGTGAAAGGTTGGCTAAGGCTTTTCAAAAAGCCTTGGGAAGGATAAGGAACATGCACAGTACTCCCTACTAGCTGAAGCGTATTCCACACGGAGGTAGCTTCCACGCCATTCTGAAAGGCATGATTACACTGCCCCTGATGCTGACTAACCATAGGTAATGATGATTCCACCACGCCTACGCTGGTTTCGTTTGAAAAGCCCGCGCCATCCTTGGTCTCCTCCACTGCTGATACATGGCTTAGGCTTTCCCCTACAGCTGCCTTGTCAGCTTCCACGTTGGATGACAGTGCCACATCGACTGCCTTGTTAGCATCGTCCCGATCCAGAGAATGCAGTTCTGCGGAGCTACTACGGCCCTCTACTAAACTCGGCTCTTCCAAGACTCGGATAGGATAGATTCTTCCTTTACACTCCAAGTTAAGGTTGGTGTTGATAGGATTCATGGCATTTGTAACAATCTTACATCATCCGCAACGGAAGGATTCTGGGTTGCAAACATCCTCAGTGAGAAGAACTATCTCTCCCCAAAGTTGCCCTATCTTACGGAAAGTTGCTGGGTTCCACAGATTGGGGGGCACTCCATAGCAAGTGACCCAAACACACCTTTCCTGTTGAAGATACATTCCGGTTCGCCATTCTGTGATATACTCACACCAGTCAGTGAACCAAGATTTAAGCAGAATAACTTTACTCACCATTTTTTCCTTAGATTTGAAAGAGATGATAACATCACGCCCACCTCCCTCCCGTACCAAAATATCCTTCTCCCCTTTATTCATAAGTTCCTTTCTGACCTGCATAGCAGAGTATGGCGTTTTGAGCCTCAAAATTATGCTTTCATAGAGCCATCCGTTCTCGGTTTCTTCGACTTTAATAGTTGTCATTGAGTGGTAGTTTGATCCATCTCCCTTAATGACCTCTGCGAATGTTCTACCATCGATGCGTTGTTGCCAGATCTGATTTGGTGCTACAGAACTATCCTTCACAGGTTCAAAAGATCTTGGTGGTAGCAGCTTCTTTCGATGACTAACTTCACTTCCTTTATTGTAGTCCGCAACTTTCACTGATAAAGACTTGTCATCAACCCACAAACCATTGGCCTTTTACTCAGCTATACCGGCTGCGTTGGAACAATTGTAACGCACGAATCCAAATCTGGTGTTGGTTGCTTTCCTTCTCTTTTGTGGAATGTAAATGTCCTTCACCACGCCAAACTTGTTAAACAGTTCATAAAGCTTTCTGGGTACCATTGATTCAGGCAAGTTGTCCACAAATAGTGTATACAAGGATGTTCTGTGATCTGTAAACCGTGAGTTGGGACGCAGCTGCCTAGCTCTGTGCTTGACCACTGGGATCCAGCCTCCCCTTGCTCCGATCTCTATCTCTATCTCTCTCTCCATTCTCTGTTTCTTGTGCAAGAGATGGAAGACACATCCTCCTTTCTATTAATTGATCTTCGATAATCTGAAGGTGAGTTATTGCTCTCGTTTCCATCTTCTTCTTCTTCTTCTTCTTTTTTTAAATTTTTTATTTGCATTTATAGAATGAATTTTCTTATTTTAATATCTCCTGCAATTTTTTATTGGATTTCTCTCTGATTTGATGGTAGCCTTAGATTGAATTTCTCAATTTTCATCTTAACTAGCGATCGCCTTAATTAAAATTCTATACATTTTTGTCTTCAATTTTCATGTTTTGGTTATGATTAATTGCACGTTTTTTATCGATAGTCACAATCTTGTCACCGCTAGATTGTCGTCATTGCAAATCGCCATTATTGTAGTGAGAGGATGAGAGAGAGTGAGAATTAGAACTCTAATTGTCAACAGAGTAGTGAAAACATATGGAGAAATTATTTTTCGATGTACCAAAAAAAAAAAATGGGGAAATTAGTGGGTACCCATCCCCCGTTGAGATTTAAAGAACATCACTTACCCTACCCGACGAACAAGAAAAAAGGGGAAACCCAAGTATTTGGGTTGGGTCTCCATGGATACCCACATTGTAGATTATCCATTGCTATCCCTACTCTATTGACAATTAGAGTTCTAATTCTCACACTCTCTCATCCTCTTACTACAGCAACGGCAATTTGCGAGGACGACAATTTAGCGATGACAAAATTGTGACTGTCGATCAAAAACGCTCAATTAATCATAACCAAAACATGAAAATTGAAAACAAAATTGTACAAAATTTCAATTAAGGTGATCACTAGTTAAGATGAAAATTGAAAAATTCAATCAAAGGATACTATCAAATCAGAAAGAAATCCAATAAAAAAATTGCAGGAGATATTGAAACAAGAAAATTCATTCTATAAATGCAAATAAAAATTTAAAAGAAGAAGAAGAAGAAGAAGACGAAGAAGAAGAAGAAGAAAATGGAAACGAGAGCAATAACTCACCTTCAGATTATCGAAGATCAATTAATAGAGAGGAGAAGGAGATACATAAAATTTAAAAAAAAAAAATTTAAGAAAGAAGATGGATTTTTTTTTTTTTTTGTTGTAGGAATAGAATTTTTCTAAATAAATTAAAAAA